GAAAGTGGCCACTTTCATGAGTAATCACATATAAGTTTTTACTATTTCTTTTCCATATGGGTATACCACAACAAGTTACTTTAAACTCCAAAGTTCAGTAAAGCAAGCATGCTAGTGACCAACCACAAACTGAGAGCTATGGCCACACAACGATCACATCAAGGGTGGCTCAGCACCCCTCAGTGTTATTGCCATCACCTGGCCAACAACACTCACAAGTGATCCAACAAAAGTAGCCATATTCCCCACAACACTAAAGGTCACCACACAACGATCTCATTAGCATCCATCAACAGTGACATATGCACACATGGTGTACACACAATGCCAACTTTAAAACAGCCTACCTGCCTCAGCTACAAGACCATAATAATGAATGGTCTCAAACCTCCTACCAAGTTTGGTGCCACTGGTTTACTATGTGCAACTCCCAGCCTAAAATGCTAAAAACAATAAAACCCTAACTTTACCTACCTAGTCTTCAGTGGTGTACCAAGCTCGAGGCAACTTTAAACGCAAAGGGCAGCACAGCCACCCAGCTGAAACCCACTTACTAAATGGACGTTGCTCAATCACAGTGAACACCATCACTCACCCACTAGAAAGCAATACAAAAAACTGATATTCAGTCTCCACAAAAATATCCATACAATCCCGGACCAGCATCATGAAGCCATATACGTAGTAGATTTTGTAGGCCCAGAAAGATGTGAAGGCACTTTATATATATCATGTATTTTGAAACCCGGTATTTTGGAGACCTGGACTATAAATGTGTCTGTCTCTAAAGCATTCTTTGGGTTAGCTTCTGTTATTTAAATGTGTCATGGGCTAAAAAAAAGAAGTTTAACCTGTTAGTCAACAAAAAAAAGTTCAGACATTTTTTATAGTGTATGTTTGAGGTAATGTTTTTCATTTCCAAAAAAAAAAAATAAATAAATAAAAAAAAAAAAAATAATATATATATATATATATATATTTATATATATATAATTATTAATGTTGAACCATTCAGTAGTACTACACACAGATCGTAGAGGATAAACATTGATTGATTAATCCACTATTGATATTTGGAAAGAGCTTGCAATACTTTTGGAACGAACGAATAGGCTTGCTGACAGTGCTTGTACGTGCGCAGCTGCCCTCCGAGGACTTGTCGGTCCTCCGTGCAAATGCCGGTTATGGCAGATTACCAGTCCAGTCATGTCGACGTGGTATGTCTCGCTGAAAAACAAGACAAAAAAACCCATAGAGGGTAGAGGAGAGTAGACTGGCTGCTCAACAACCAGAAAACAAGGTGTTCCGATTGTTTACGATACAACTGATTTATGTATACATGTCTAAAACTACAGGTGACATCCGGGGGCGGATCTACAGCGTTGGTATGGGGTAGCATGTGCCACCCTAAAATGATGTCTTGCCACCCCTAGCTCCACCCTAGTTTTGCAAATGACATCGTTGTTTATAAGCTAGAATTAACACTTTGAGCTACAATTAACACTGAATGTAAATTCTAAAAGTGAATATATTGCATTGTGTTAACCCCTCTCACCCATTAAAAAATGGTTCATCTCATAGCGTGGAACAGCTTTATTTTTTGTTGTCAGTAGCAACCCACTATGATTGTGCCGAGCTCATCTGTGTTTTAGATTTCAACACAGTCTGGAAATGGAATAAAGGTGAGTGTTATTAACTCTCTGGGGTCGACATGACCAATGTAAGCTGACACAGCAACAAGCTGCAGCCAACTTGTGTTGAAAGTTCGGACTTCAAACTCTATATACCAGTTTTCAGTTTTTATTGATATGCCATTAAAATCAGAGTTATGATCAAAAAAACATATGTGATAATTTTTTATGAATACTGTCGTTACATTTATTGTGGGGAAAAAGCATTTAAAATGGCATTTTCAAGGACAGCGCAAAAATAAACCAAGAAAAACAGTGCCTCCCATTTCCTATTGGTAGAAAAATGTCGACCAATCAAAAAAAATTATATGGCAACACCTGACATTTGTTTGTTTAGGATGCAGGGAAAATTTTGGCAGTGATTGCGGAGAGATCAACAGTGAGTTTGAGACGAGAGAGATTTGTGATGTTTAGTTTGTTTGGAGTGTATTGTTAGTGTGTAGTGTGGTCGTTTGTTTTGGTTTCTCCAGAATAATGAGATTACTAGTGAATGTCACAGTTGCTGCTAAAATGTCACAAAAGGCAGATTGTAATGCAATCACTGTCTCCAAGTGGGATACACCTGTATCTCTGTCCTTGGTTGGCTGGCTGTAGCTCAGGTGGTAGTGCAGGTCAGCTACTAACCAGGAGGTTGGTGGTTCGATCCCAGGCTGGCAGACTGCTCCAGTCTGCATGCCAAATATCCTTGGGCAAGATGCTAACCACATGTTGCTCTCTGATGCATCCAGGAGTGTAAATGTGTATGAATGTTAGATAGTGAGCACTAACAACTTAAATGAGTTGGGTGAATGAATTAGTTGTATAAAGTGCTTTGAGTGCTCAGAGTAGAGAAGCGCTATATAAGAACCAGTCCATTTACCTCCTGTTGTCAGGGAAGCAGGGTTTAGGCCAGGGAATTTCTCCTCTGTCTTGTGGCGAACAAACTTTTTTTTTGGAGTGGCACAAATAATTTTTGCGGCATCTTATTGTCAAACCTAATTGTTCTGTAATTTTAGTTTTAGTAGTTCATTAGTTTTAAATGGTTATACAAAAAATGCCAGAGGCATTGGCTGCATTTTTAGGTAAATAGTTGTGTATAACTTTATTGTTTACAAAATTTGTAAAGTTTGTTAAATGTATATTTGCATTTCAAATTATGAAAATTATTCACTAAACATGTTTGTGGTTTTTCCCTACTGGGATGTTTTTTGTGTGATTTTAGATCAACTATGTTAATACAGTACGTCAATGAAAAAATAAGTCTAAATTTAGACACATGAGGTTGTGCTATGTTTAAGTAAAAGTTTATTTATATAGCACATTACATAGACAGATGTCATAAAGTGCTTCACAAGAGAGGTAACAAAAACCCAACACAATCATAAAAGCCCTGGTCTAATTATGAACTTTTTGAAATAAAAATGTCTTTAGCTGTGAAACGTGTGTACTTACTGCATTTGATGTATTTTAACCATGTATATTATGTATATTACAGAATGTAAACCCTGCATCTGTATTAAGAAATGCCTTTGATTTGGCAACTCCATTTGATATCCGTGCCACCCTCATGTCACTCTAAGAAAATTTCTCTAGATCCACCGCCGTCCACCGCTGGTAACATATCTCTTGCTCACTAAAACCTTAAATGCGTGTGCAGCAAGTGCCTGATGCCTCACGAGTACAGATCACATCTCATGCCCACATGGGGTTTTGAGGTAAATTTCACACTGCCAGCTTTGCACAGATCCACAAATGTAACCTGCGTCCATGTCCCTGTGTAAAACTCTTCTCTGTACTCCTCAATTTTTTAAAAAAGAAACAAAACAACTGACAGTTCTAAACAAACCAAACAGCCCATAACCCCTCTACTAGAAAATTAATAGTATTAGCAATTATCAAATCAAAATCAAATCAAATCAAATCACTTTTACTGTCACATCACATGTGCAGGTACATTGGTACAGTATGTGAGTGAAATTCTTGTGTGCGAGCTTCACAAGCAACAGAGTTGTGCAAAATACAATAATGTAAACAAGCAAAATACAAGAATGGCTACATCTGAAACTAATAAATATATGTACAATATATAATAGTATATGCATTTCTGGATGTGAATACTAAATGTTTTTCTACGTGTGTGTGTGTGTGTGTGTGTGTGTGTGTACACATATTTTACAAATTAAATAGAGTAAACAATAAATAAAATATATAAAAAAAATATAGATGCTACACAGAGGCCTGTTGTGAAAAATCAGGCATTCTCTGATAATAAATTGACTGGTTCTTATATAGCACTTTTCTACTCCACTTTTCTACTCCGAGCACTAAAAGCAATTCGAACAAACTGCCTCATTCACCCATTTATACGCAGAACTTTTTTCTACATAAGTACTTTCTATCTAATATTCAAACACATACTTGGATGGACGTATCAGAGATAACTTGGGGTTAGTATCTAGATACTAGAGACAGGTAAACTGGACCAGGCACTGAATCCTGATTAGTAGTTGAAATGCTCAACCTCCCGAGTTAGAGCCACAATTAGCTTAATGACTAATCCTGAATACTTCAGGATGTAGCAGCAAATTATTTAAAACATATATAAACCTTCATAGGCTACTGTGTAATGCCTAATTGTTAAAACTATGTTTTATGGTAGATGGGCGACAAGCTGTTCTGTTTATATTTAAAAAAAAAGGAACGCTTCATTAAAAAAAAAATGCAGAAGAACAGTGAAAGGCCAGATGTCCCAGTTTTACACTGGGAATTGAACGCGGCTTATATTTGTGGATTTGTGCGAAGCTGGCAGTGCTTCCAAACCCCACGTGGGCGTGAGACGTGACTTGTGCGTATCAGGCGATTGGTGCACACTCATTTAAGGTTTTTTTAAGAGAGCGAGATGGATGTTACGTGAAGTTTTAGAAGTTTGCATGCAAAGAAGAGTTTTTAAGAGAACTTTTAAACTGAACTTAATAAGTTGTGTGTAAATAATCACTATTTATCCAGGTTTTAATGAACGCATTCATAAAATAGGTTTACATGTTATTAAATTGCTTCGTATTTGTGGATGCACGCATTTGTGAGTCCTCAAAATCTGCACAAAAATAATATTTGTAATTTTTACCCATGTTAGCTTACATATCTTACGCACATACGCATTCGTAACACTAACGGTCATACCCTGTAGGACCTCTACCTCTGCTGGTTTCATTACGTTAGATTATATTACGTATCACATTGCATGTAGGTACGTACGGTAGAATGTTGTCATCTTACGTGAGGTTTTACTTTTTACTTTTATTTTGAAATAGTGACCGGAAGTAGCTTGGTTCAGCCTGTGCGCGTGCGAAGTAGTGTCTGCGTAAAGTTGAACGTCTTCTCACCTCCACTGTTTTCGGTGAATAGTCGCCAAATTTCATCGCCTGGAACCGTTGTGGTGTAGAGAAAGCAGTCAGTAAGGTGGGTTCGGGTAGCTGCAGCACGTCTAGCCCATTATCGAGCGCTTGAAATGTTAAGCGTTTTGAACAGAACTGACTCATGTGGTAACAGACTGTCGATTAAAGCCACACGGCTAGCTAAAATCAACGCTGAGGTCCACTTATACGTTTACTGATTTTACTGCTGTGTCTGTGTTGTTAGATTTTTGACAATGATTGTTTGGTGTTGTGTGGTGTTCAACAAGCTTATCGATCACAAAGTAGTGCAATGTACTTCATATGCCGTGGTAATTAAGGCTCACTTAACAGAAGCATCCAATTTTGTTATTCTTACGTTTTCCGGAGCATTTCTAAAGTGTCTGGCAAATGCACTGAGGTGTTGTTTAGCCTTACTCTGACTTGGGCATGGCCCATGGGAAATGGCAGTTACATCAAAAATAATACAGAATAAAGCAGAATAATAGTACAGGACAAAACATGCATTTTAATCGTATTAAAGTGTTGTGAAGTATATTCATTTTAATTGTTTACCAACCTTTTGCCTTAATGTAGAGTCCTCACAACAATAAGGCACTGAAGCCCAAGATTCAATGGAGAGTTACAAGAGATAACAAAACGCAGTCTGGTAACAATATTAAATGTGGTTTGTTCCACTGAGTGGTAAAAAAAAAAAAAAGATATGGTTGTACACGGAAATTTTTTTTTTAAAGTTTCCCATGTACACATTATTTTTTTATGTTTAAATACTACTAGTATTTTAATTTGTATTACTTAATATTTGTATTTATTTCATTTTTATTCTGACAGTCTTATTGAATATTGTTAAAAATAAATTTTTTTCAAATTGATTTTCTAGGTCATTATTTTAATTTTTCGTGGGACAAGACAACAGGGTGATATTAAGGTGGGCAGACTTAAGCAGGTGAGGTACTGGAAACTAGAACAGGATATTTTCCCAGAGGACACAGAGATAAGAGTTATTTAAATAATCATTGACTAACTGACTAATCACAAAAAAACTAGCAGACTAGTCAACTACCAAAATCATTTTTAGCTGCAGCCCTACTGGTGAGACGCCATTTCCTCTCATGCTTAGGAGTACTCTGGTTTAAGGTGCGTGTTTGTGAGTTACACCAGGGAGTCAAGTACTTCTGATGTGAGGGTTTCTTTTTTAGAGGAGCTACAATATCTAGAGTTGAATGCAGTGAAGAAGTAAAAATAATAACAAGATAATCAACCTCTGTGGGAGTAGCTTCAGGTAGCTGCTCTACAATTTTTTCCGCATTGAAGGCATTGAAGAAGATATCAGTGGATTAATTATATCCTTAAACTTGGTTACAGCGCATTCAGAAAGACATCTGCTGTGATGTAATCTATTCCATTGTGGTGTAATTAGAGCTGGGCGATATGAGATTTTTTCATATCACGATATGTTTTTTTCATTTCAGGCGATAACGATATCTATCACGATATAAGCCAAATAACTATATTTGTAAGATTTAAATGTGCCGTTGCTCACAAGTAAAATGTGAAATAATCAGCAGCTTGTTTTTATTTAAATATTTATTTCCCATAATAAGTTCAACAGGGTAGATGTACTTAAGGAACATGAGACTTTTTCAGATAAATAAAGGCAAATATTGCAAACTACACAAAAGGCAGCCGCTAAAGCGTTTAAGTTTCAAAATAGAACAAACGAAACAGACTAAATTGTCAATTCCACTTAGAAACAAAATATTAATTCTAAAAATAAATCTTAGTTTGTTTTACAGAAGAACAGACAAAATTGACTAACTTTTGTCAATATCAAATAAACTGAGAACTAAAAGGAAATTCTCAATCTCTCCTTGTTGTATAGCTTAGCTTTTCAAACAGTTTTAACAGTTACTTTAGTCTGACAAAAGCCGAATGACGAATTAGCGCTTCCAGTCAGACACTGAGGCTACGTCCACACGTACACGGGTATTTTTGAAAACGGAGATTTTCCGTTTTCGTTTTAAAAAATAATCCCGTCCACACATAAAGAGAGAAATCAAGGAAAACGCTGCTATGAACATGTCAAAGCAGCAGGTGGCGCTAGATTCCTAACCGTGCAGAAATGTTGGCCAATCAGAAGTCTAGAAGCCTCGGTGGGAAAAAGTAAACAAAGCTGGGGCATAGAAGCAGAACCGAGTCGTATGTGTGGAGGGACAGTAACTGTGTGTATATGTAAGCATTTAAACACTGCAGAGAGTAGAATTAACAGTAACAGTATTGTAGAAATTCATTTCACCGAAACAATAACGTGGCGCACAGTGTGACGCATTCACCAGTTTATTGTATTTCCAGACTTGCTTTCGGCACATTTACAGTGCACGCTACTCTGTTTTTTGTCAGACTTGAAATAGCCGAAATACCTTCACACTACGGAACTTCTATGGCTCTTCCGTTCGACAATCTCTCCGGCGTTGGAACCATCATCTGTTTTCTCTTCGGTCACGCTCGGTTGATTTTTCTAGTCGGCACACTCATTTCCTCCATTACGCGCTGGCTCCATTACCCGCTGGCTGCTTCCCAAACAAACACACGTGCGGCTTGGCACTTGTGCTGTACGTAACAAGTCACGCGATGTGACGCTGTGGCTGTGATTGGTTCGGCTCTGCGCTACTTGATTTGGATTGGCTGACCTTTTTTTTTTTTTTTTTTTTTTTTTTAAGAGGACAAGAGCGGCGAGGTCTATCGCGATAGCTTAATTTCTCTATCGAGTAAAAGTTATATCGCGATACATATCGTTATCGTTCTATCGCCCAGCTCTAGGTGTAATCCATTATTGTAAATGTAAATGTTAGTAGGAAATGGATTGACAAAAGAGGGTTTTCAGGAAATAATGTTAAATGATCAGTTTCTATGCCAAATGTCAGAACAAGATCTAGAGTGTGTCTAAAATAATGGGTGGGTTCTTTTGCATTTTGAATCAAGCCAGTTGACTAATGAAAGGTTAAATGCCGTGTTGAAGCTGTCATTTCCAGTATGTACATGGATGTAGGGCTGCCACAAATGATTATTTTGATAGTCGACTAGTCACCGATTATTTTTGTGATTAGTCAACCAATCAGATCATGCATCCATTGGATGTAAAACATACAGCCTATTGCACCAGCATGCGTCTGCTCTTATTTAACTATCATTAGCTTACAACTTGAAGTGTTTAAGGTATGTGCTAACTAAAAATAAAGACAAAATAATAGTTTATTAAACTTTTAATGAAATTTGTAGATTGTCTCGGTGGAGTTTAATAAACTCAGCCGTCTGCTCCTTGCTCCCTCAAATATAACAGGACAAATTCTCGACCATCTCACATTTCTGTTTAATCAGAAAACGTTAGGGCTGCTCAATTAATCGAATTTTAATCACGATTACGATCTGAGCTTTCAACGATCATTAAAAATGACTGAGCCGATTATTAGCACCTCCCTCGTGCTTTACTCTTGCGAGGTGGCAAATCGAGCGCACCTCTCTGCGTTTCGAACACGTGTCACATCAATTAAGAGTATCTGAGGAGAGCTAAGCAGACGTTATTTGGAGAGGATAATGGCTGCTAAAGAAAGAATGCCGTTGGTTGAAAAGCGAGGTAAAACTACTTCAGTGGTGTGGAAACATTATGGGTTCGCGGAGTCCGATGTGGATCAAGTCGATATAGTGTGTAAACTTTGCTACGGTGTTGTAGCTGCACCACAGGGCAACACTACAAATTTATTCAATCATTTGAAGACCGCTCACAAAGTGACATACGATCAAACAATGAAGGAGCATAGAGAAAAACCCTCAACAACACATGCTTCATCCTCACAGACCTCCATTCACGCTACCATGTACAACGCGACTAAATAATAATAATAATAATAATAAACTTTATTTATAAAGCACACTTAAAAACCAAGGGTATGCCAAGGTGCTTAACAAGTAAAATAGAGTATAGGAGGAGGATAATAGAAATAGGACCAAAGCAAGTACTAAATATGCAAACAGATAACTGTCACTAATACATAGGAAAGCAACAGGTACAGAGCAAACAAGAATTTAAATGAGCATAGAAGTGCATGATATAAAATCATAAAAGAAATATTAACTAGAGGGAAAGGCAAGATTGAATAAGTGGGTTTTTAATCGTGATTTGAACAGTGCAATGGAGTCAGATGCGCGGAGGTCGAGAGGAAGGTTATTCCACAGTCCCGGGGCAGCCAGAGCAAACGCACGGTCACCCCGGACTTCAGTCGAGATCTGGGTTGGGTCAGAAGTAGTTGAGTGGCAGATCTGAGTGTTCTAGCAGGAGTATGTGGTTTGAGAAGTTCACTAAGATAACTTGGCGCTAATTTATTAATAGTTTTGAAAGTAAGGAGTAATATTTTAAATTGAATACGGTACTTTATGGGCAGCCAATGCAGGCTAGCTAGGACAGGGGTAATATGGCAAAATTTCCTGGTACCAGTCAAAAGGCGGGCTGCTGCATTTTGGACTGTTTGCAGTTTAAGAAGAAGAGAAGAGGGAAGACCATAGTACAAGGAGTTACAATAATCCAACCTGGAGGTCACAAAAGCGTGAATAAGCTTCTCCAGGTCCTCATGCGGAATATAATGCCTAGCCTTAGAGATAAGGCGCAGTTGGTGGAAGCTAGATCTCACTACAGCAGACACTTGCTTATCGAGTTTGAGCGAGCTATCCAGCAGTACACCCAAGTTACTGACATAGTCACAAGAAAAACTAGCAAAGGAACCCAGGGCAGCACAGAGTTGGGCACGAGGGATTTTACTGTTGAACACCACAATCTCAGTCTTCTTATCATTTAAAACGAGGGAATTACTCAGGAACCATTCTTTGACCTCCCGCATGCATTCTTGAAAGTAGTGCAGGGACACAGCAAGGTCGTCAGTAAGTTCAAAATAGATCTGTATGTCATCGGCATAACAGTGGAAGGCGATATTGTATTTTTCAAAGATTGTGCCTAGAGGGAGCAAATACAATGAGAAGAGAATAGGGCCTAAAACTGATCCTTGAGGCACACCACAACAGACCGGAGCGGAGGAAGAGGAGAAGGTGCCTAAGTGAACTGATAAGGATCTATCAGCGAGGTATGATTTAAACCAGTCGAGGGCAGTGCCTCTAATACCCACAGTGTGCTCAAGTCTTAGTAATAAAATGTTATGGTCTACCATATCAAAGGCCGAAGAGAGGTCCAGTAAAACTAGGACCATAGAGCGTCCAGTATCAGTGATTACAAGAATATCATTAAGAACTCTAACCAACGCTGTTTCAGTGCTATGCAATGGCTTAAAGGCAGATTGAAATTTCTCAGCAATATTGTTCGTGTCCAAGTACGCCTGGAGTTGGGAGAGAACTAGTCTCTCCAGGATCTTGGACAAGAACGAAAGCTTAGAGATCGGTCTATAGTTTGAAAGGTCATAACAGTCAGAATTTCTTTTTTTAAGAATCGGGTGGACTACAGCATGCTTAAAGGACAAAGGAACACAGCCTGAGAGCAAGGAAAAGTTCATAAGAAATAGGATACTAGGTCCGATTACATCAAAACAGTCCTTAGCTAAACGAGATGGAAGAATGTCAAGCACAGTATTGGTGTTATTCATTTGAGCAACTAGCCGCTTAAGAGTCAAAAGTGACACAGGCTCAAACTGGTGGAAAGTTGAAATGCACTCAGGAATGGGGAGAGGATATAAAGCAGGGGGAAGGGAGGACTTAAGAGATGAGACCTTTTTAAAAAGTGAGTTTGAAATCGCTCACAAAGACCCTGAGAATGAATTAAAGGCATGTCCGGGGAAGGGTTAACCACAGAGTTAAAAATTTTAAATAAGGTACGGGGGTTATGGTCATTGGCCAGGATGATTTTGGACAAGAAGGACGCTTTGGCCGTTTTAGCAGCACTTTGGAATTTTAAGCGGCTAGTCCGTAGCATGTCATGGGAAACCTGAAGTTGATCTTTTTCCACCTTCTCTCAGCGCGCCGACACACGCGACGTAAGGCGCGCGTAGTGTCATTAAGCCAACACTGAGAGTAGGTTCTAGGGCGCTTCATCTTAATGGGGGCAACAGTATCAAGGATTGAAGAAATCAGCGATAGGAAGGAATTAGCACAGTCATCAACCGAGTGAAAAGAACAACAGTCGAGAGTGACAGATGCAGAATCCAAGAAAGACATAGAGAAGTTTGACATCGCTTCAGCATTAATTACACGTAGCGGGCGAAGGGGAGCCGCAGGATGTAGTTCATTAGTGCATAAGCCAGTATCAAATATAACTGGGAAATGATCCGAGATCCCAGCGTCACTTATATCCTTGATACAAATGTCCAGACCATATGAGAAAACCAAGTCCAAAGTATGTCCTTTAACATGCGTTGGGTCATTAACCCACTGAGCCAGGTTAAAAGAGTCCGTTAAGGCAAGGAAGTCTTTAGCAAATGAGTCATCCTTACAGCAAGTGTGTATGTTAAAATCACCGACAATGAGAACACAACCATACTTAAAAAGAACGGAGCCTAGGAGATCAGCAAAGTCCGTGATAAAATATTTGCTATATTTAGGCGGTCGATAAACCACCACGCAGAGTGTGGTCGTGGATGCAGTCATCTCCAATAATTGGACTTCAAAGCTAGAGTAGGTAGGTGAGGTAAATATCCACCAGCTCCCAGAGACACAAGGAGATAACAAACACGGTAACGTTTTTCCTCGCCAAAGACCAATGCTCAATTAACACAGTGGACACCCCCGGCTTTAAGAAACTAATCAACACTTTGGACAAATGGTATAACTTGCCATCTCGTCACTATTTTAGTCGAGTGGCGATTCCCGCTTTATATGACGAGTGTCATGATGGTGTCGCAAAGGAAGTGCCTACAGCCCAATATTTTGCCACCACAACGGACTTGTGGTCAAGCCGCACCATGGAGCCGTATTTGAGCCTCACGGTACATTTCATTGACATGGATTTCAACATGAAAACGAAATGTCTCCAGACATCATTTTTCCCAGAAGACCACACAGGGCAGAACATAGCTGCAGGTCTGAAACAAGCACTGGCTTCGTGGGATCTGGAGGAGAGTAAATTCGTCTGTATAACCACAGACAACGCTGCAAATGTCATACTGGCTGCAGAACTGAATGGCTGGATGAGGCTCCAGTGCTTTGGGCACAGATTACATTTGGCCATAGGTGAGTAGGCCTAATTCCTACTGAATATGATGCATAATGTGATTTTCTTTCAATAAGTATACAACATAATGCTTCGAATGAATATAATAAATGAAAAACAATTTAAATTCAGAGATACTTTTATTCATTCTCACAGTCAAACACATTTTCTATGAATTATACAAACACATAAATAAGCTACCATCACTTTTTCTTATTCATTCACACTCAAGGAAATGACAGTCATCATCCTGATAATGCTTGTTTATATTTTTTATGTTCTTATAGAAAGAGCCATGAAAGATCACAGGATTGAGCGTGCAGTGGGGGTCTGCAAAAAAGTGGTCAGCACCTTTTCATTCAGTTGGAAAAAAAAGAGAGAGCTGAAAAGGGCACAGATAGACCTCAAACTGCCAGACCACTCCTTAAAGACTGAATGTCCAACCAGATGGGGATCTAGGCAGGCCATGGTTTCCAGAGTCCTTGAGCAGCAGAAGGTCATTGCCCATGTCCTCTCCCAAGACAAAGGAACCAGGCACCTCATCCCCTCATGGCAGGACATTGATGTCCTTGAGGCCATCAACAAGACCTTGGGACCTCTGGTTGAATTCACTGATGCACTTTCTGAAGAGAAATATGTGAGTGTGTCTTTAATAAAACCAACACTCCACCTATTTAACAACTCAGTCTTGGCTGAGCAAGATGATGACACAGACCTCTCAAAATGCATCAAGAGGAGAATACTGGAGTACCTAAATGAAAAGTATGGTGACTCACCAACACAAGAGTTGCTTGACATGGCCACTGTCCTGGACCCAAGGTTCAAACTGAGATACAGTGGGGCAAAAAAGTATTTAGTCAGCCACCGATTGTGCAAGTTCCCCCACCTAAAATGATGACAGAGGTCAGTAATTTGCACCAGAGGTACGCTTCAACTGTGAGAGACAGAATGTGAAAAAAGAAATCCATGAATCCACATGGTAGGATTTGTAAAGAATTTATTCGTAAATCAGGGTGGAAAATAAGTATTTGGTCAATAACAAAAATACAACTCAATACTTTGTAACATAACCTTTGTTGGCAATAACAGAGGTCAAACATTTACTATAGGTCTTTACCAGGTTTGCACACACAGTAGCTGGTATTTTGGCCCATTCCTCCATGCAGATCTTCTCGAGAGCAGTGATGTTTTGGGGCTGTCGCCGAGCAACACGGACTTTCAACTCCCGCCACAGATTTTCTATGGGGTTGAGGTCTGGAGACTGGCTAGGCTACTCCAGGACTTTCAAATGCTTCTTACGGAGCCACTCCTTTGTTGCCCGGGCGGTGTGTTTTGGATCATTGTCATGTTGGAAGACCCAGCCTCGTTTCATCTTCAAAGTTCTCACTGATGGAAGGAGGTTTTGGCTCAAAATCTCACGATACATGGCCCCATTCATTCTGTCCTTAACACGGATCAGTCGTCCTGTCCCCTTGGCAGAAAAACAGCCCCATAGCATGATGTTTCCACCCCCATGCTTCACAGTAGGTATGGTGTTCTTGGGATGCAACTCAGTATTCGTCTTCCTCCAAACACGACGAGTTGAGTTTATACCAAAAAGTTCTACTTTGGTTTCATCTGACCACATGACATTCTCCCAATCCTCTGCTGTATCATCCATGTGCTCTCTGGCAAACTTCAGACGGGCCTGGACATGCACTGGCTTCAGCAGCGGAACACGTCTGGCACTGCGGGATTTGATTCCCTGCCGTTGTAGTGTGTTACTGATGGTGACCTTTGTTACTTTGGTCCCAGCTCTCTGCAGGTCATTCACCAGGTCCCCCGTGTGGTTCTGGGATCTTTGCTCACCGTTCTCATGATCATTTTGACCCCACGGGATGAGATCTTGCGTGGAGCCCCAGATCGAGGGAGATTATCAGTGGTCTTGTATGTCTTCCATTTTCTGATGATTGCTCCCACAGTTGATTTTTTCACACCAAGCTGCTTGCCTATTGTAGATTCACTCTTCCCAGTCTGGTGCAGGTCTACAATACTTTTCCTGGTGTCCTTCGAAAGCTCTTTGGTCTTGACCATGGCGGAGTTTGGAGTCTGACTGTTTAAGGCTGTGGACAGGTGTCTTTTATACAGATGATGAGTTCAAACAGGTGCCATTCATACAGGTAGGGGACAGAAAAGCTTCTTACAGAAGACATTACAGGTCTGTGAGAGCCAGAGATTTTCCTTGTTTGAGGTGACCAAATACTTATTTTCCACCCTGATTTACGAATAAATTCTTTACAAATCCTACCATGTGAATTCATGGATTTTTTTTCACATTCTGTCTCTCACAGTTGAAGTGTACCTCTGGTGCAAATTACTGACCTCTGTCATCATTTTAAGTGGGGGAACTTGCACAATCGGTGGCTGATTAAATACTTTTTTGCCCCACTGTATGTAAGCGAGGTCAGCCAAGAAACAATAAAAGCCAGACTGACAATGGAAATGAAGTCCATCATGGTATTTATAAAGATACTAAACATATATCTATCCATCTATCTATCCATCTATCTATCATTATTTATAGTAATTATTTAAGGATTGTATTTTAGAATGCCAAACCCGAGACAGATAAAACTGGTTCCTCATTCTGTGTTGCTGTCATTTTATATTTGTCCCATTAAAGGAGGCTATAGTGATGGGGACACCCGTTGGTAACACGGAGGTTGCTGATAATGGTGCATAAAACCAAAAGAAGAGGAAAAAGGGCCTAAGCAGCTTCTTTAAGGCCCCTCACAGCACAGCTCCAGGTGCAGAACATGTTCTTCAACTGGACCAGGCCATAGCTTTTGAGCTTCAGGCCTACCTCCAGGCAGGGACCCTGGACACAGAGGAAGACCCACTGGGGTGGTGGAAGCTATCACAGAACCTCTTCCCACGACTCTCCATCCTGGCAAAGAAATATCTTTGCATCCCAGCCACAAGTGCCTCATCAGAAAGGGTCTTTAGCACTGGTGGAAATGTTGTCAACTGCCTGCGTGCATCCCTGAAGCCTGATCATGTCAATAGGCTGGTGTTTTTGGCTAAAAACCTTTGAAAGGTTGCAGGAACCATGTTTTGTTGAGCCATTTTGAGATTGTATGGGACTCGGGCCTACTAGTTTTTATTTATTTCTTATAAAAGGTACTACTTTCAGTGTTTAATTTTATTTTTGTTCAGGCAGCAACTTTAGTTGACATACCTCAATGTCAGTTTGATGCAATTGTGCATTGTGTGGCTACACAGCTTGCCTTGATGTTTGGTTATTTGTATGCATAAATATTATGCAGTAGTTTGAAGTTCACTAAACATTAATGTTTACATCTTTTTATTTATTTTTTATATTGCAAACATTTGGACGGTTATCAGAATTTGCACATTGTTTATATTATTTTTGACAATCTTTAAAGCAATTATTCAATGCATTGTTATTGTTAAATAAATATCGTGAAATAATTGTGATCTCAATTTCATTGAAAATAATGGTGATTATCATTTTTGCCATAATCGAGCAGCCCTAGAAAACGTCAGAGCACTTTTGTAAATATGTGATGTCTTGATAAATCGAGCAGATATTTGAAGTTTACACAGCTACCTTCTTGCCTGAAAATATCTTAAAAGTTTATTTTGTGACTCAGAAAGAGAAATATTAAAACTAAGTAGCTGCCATCATCGTTGGAAACTGGGGGTCCAGTCCCTGGCTATCGAGGCTGGGTATCGGAACATTATCTCGCTGGTGGGGGAAGGAATCTGGGCCCTTTCTCAATTCTAAGTACGGAAGTATGTACTTGCGTTCTCGGCGAGACCGGACTTGCCTGGACCGCACGGGAGTACGGACTTGCCGAGAACGCGAGCACGGACTCGTGATTTGTACAACTGGAACACCAGCGTACATGATGATGTCACAGGTCCGGAGTTTTTACTGCTGTCCCCCCTTAATTTAACTGTGAGTAATATGTTATGAAGCTTAACTTTAATCACAGACAAACCAATTTACTCAGGAACAAATAAACACTGAAATAAACCAAACATTAACATTTAGAAGTGATCTAAGTTACTTATATATCATGTTTAACCTCAGTAGCGAAATTCTATTAATAAAAATAGTGTACATGTATGTCTTAATAAAACAAGCAGGTGAGATGTTAGAACGCCTTTATTTTTATTTTAGTACAATAGACAGCTGCTGGGGTTTGGGGTTTGTTTAACCTGAGTAGCGAAAAGACCGCGGGGGGGTTGAAAACAATGTGCCGGGAGTCCGCTGTTCTCGCCGGCTCTAATGATCCTCGACCTCGCTGTTTTCTTTGGAGCTGGCAGGTCACAGACGTCTCCGAAAACGTCGGAGCGCGTTTGGAAATATATGATATCTTGATAAATCGAGCAAATATTTGAAGTTTACACAGCTACATTCTCGCTTGAAAATAACTTAAAAGTTTATTTTGTGACGCAGAAGAGTAATATTTAAAAGTTTTCAACCCCGCTCGTCCGCCATTGCTGCGTTTGAGTTTTGGACGAAATGCATTCTGGGATATTTAGTTGTACCAAGTCCACACAAGTCCCACCGATGCATGCTCGATAAAACGGGCGGAGCGAGAACACATCCGGGACTTTTTTGCGTTCTCGGCTTGATGCGTACTTTGAATTGGAACAGTACTTGGTCTCCGACTGATGACGTATCACGAATACGCACAAGTACGCATATTGAGACAGGGCCCTGTACTAGTGCATGAGATTGAGAGATACTGGCTAGATATAGTCGGGCTCACCTCGACCCGTGGCTTGGGCTTGGGAACTATTGTAATGGGCTCTGTTTCAGTCTGCCCTCGGTGAGAGGCAACCCAGAATATCCATGGGTGGGTATTCTTGTATCCCATCAATTTGCTACCAGTACACTGAGGTTCTCATTGTGCATGAGAGGGTTGCTCCACTTACCCAAACGGAACACTGACTGTCATTTGAGTTTATGTGCCAAAGAACAGTTTAAAATACCAGCGTTCTTGGAGTCACTTGGTGGGGCGTTTGAGGGTGCTCCACCTGCTGACACCCTTGTCCTACTGGGAGACTTCAACAATGACTTAGGCAACAACCTAAATTATACTCAAAACAGAAAACAAGAAAAACAACTGATGTTAAATGATGCCTTTAAGCCTACAAGGGTCCATTCTACAATTGTTTGTTGAATATAAACACCATTTCATGCTGATATTGCACTTCCTTTGTTTTCAGATATCCAAATTTAAAATATCGGTATCTAAAATAAAAGGTGGCATCGTGCCATCCTCAGTTCCAACTAGTGACAATAGTGACGATTAGTCATATGAACGACTAGTCACACACATCTCTAGTTCAAACACAACGGTCCATAAGTACATGTGGCACCAAAACACCCCAGATTGCAGGTCAGGTCAGGTAGATCAGATTGTAAGGGAGGATGCACCCATACATATAGAAAGTGTTTGATGGGAATGCCTGGCAGCTGAAACAAAAGCTCGGGTGTGGAAGGAGTTTGGTGAGGCCATAGAACAAGAGTACTTGCTCAGAGAATTATTTGATTGCTGGGGTTTTTGTCTGTATTATTGTAGGGTCTTTACCTTATCATAATAATGATAAAGTAACAATAATCACTTTGAGGTATTTGGTGTTATATAAATAAAACTGAAGTGAGTATTATCAATAATAATAAAGTTTTGTAGTTGTTAAAAATAATTTAAATGTTATAACATGTTAATATGATTCCTGGTCTGGAAGAACAGCTTCCTTGTGAGCTCATGTCACTTCTCTCCCAGCAGCAAATTTTTTGACCTTTCAGCCACACTCTCCCTAGCCTCGTCACAGGTTGCCCTTTCTATTTCTGTTTCTCTTCTTTTAATTCAGGCAGGAGGAGGTGAAGTCATGTTCCGAATCCTCCATCATCAAGGTAAGGGAATGTGCACCAGTCTCAGGGCCCAGCGGCGCTATGAGCACCACAGGGCCATCATGGCTATACGTCGCGAGGATGTCAATCCCTGGGAGAGGAGGGCGCCACTGGCACCACGACATGTCAAAGAACTCACAAATGCTGGCGTAAAAGTCCTGGTACAGCCATCCAACCGCAGAGCTATTCACGAGAAGGTGAGAGAAGGAATACTTTGTTTAATTTTCACTTCTTCAGGTGGTGTTGTTTTGATTTTCAGATCTATGAAGGTAGTATTTAATATCTTGACGCATGCTCGATCATACAAGTAAGGAAATCCCAAAAGTTGATTCTGTTCATCTGAACATAACGTCTTCAGTGGGAGAAACGTTTCGTTACTCATCCAAGTGACTCCTTGAGTCTCAGCTGAATGCAGGTTCCCCAACGTTATAAACAGTACCTTTGCATAATGACTGAAATTAGCACCACTGACGATCAATGACCTTTGAGGTGAGGTTCTTGATCATTAATATCAATAATAATATCAATAATATAAAGAGGGTTTACCTTTAAGACCCATTGTCTGTATAATCAACTCGGTCACCTATAACATCGCAAAGTTTCTGGCTTTGATCCTCAAGTTGTTGGTAAGCAGCTCTGAACACATGCAGAACACTTTTGATTTTGTTGAGAAGATGAGAGCTGTCATTATGCAGGCAGATGGTTTCATTTGATGTTCACCGACCAAGTACGTTTGCTCTTGGAACTATGTCTTCATTCCACATATTTCACATTCAAGGATCACTACTACAGGCAGAAACATGAGTGTGCCATGGGCTCCCTAGTTTTAACTATTGTGGCCAACTTGTACATGGAAGAAATGGAACAGAGTGCTCTGTTATCCTACCCTGAAACGCCACCAAGTCATTGGTTCAGGTATGTGGATCACACCTGGGTGAAAATCAAATCTCAGGACGTACCACAATTCACGGATCACATTAACTCAGTGGACCAACACATCAAATTCACCAGGGAGGATATGAAAAGTGGCAGGTTAGCCTTCTTAGACTGTAAGATTTCCATCAGTAATGAGGGACATTTAAAAGTTGATGTGTACCGTAAACCAAAAAGCTTTTAAGTATTTAAGGTTTGACTCTCATCATCCACTGGAGCACAAACTGGGCATCATCAGGAAGCTACAACACAGAGTGAACACCATCCCACAGACACAGCGGCCAGGGAAGCAGAAGAACAGCACATCAAGAAGGCCCTGAGTAAATGTGGTTATCCCAGCTGGACATTCGTCAAAGCTGGGAAGGCGCCAAAAGAAAGCTCCAGCCGATCCAGGAGAGAAGGACAACTGCTGCCTAAGCGAAAAACCCGTAGTGATCCTTTATGTGTCAGGAGTATCGGAACAGCTGTGACATGTTTTCTCTAAACGCCACGTTTCTGTGACTTTCAAACCCCAAAACACGCTGCGGCAAAAATTCGTCCATCCCAAGTATCGGGTCCCCTGACACAGACAGAGTAATATAGTGTACTCTGTTAAGTGCCAGGAGGATTGCCAGGATTTATACATCGGGGAAACCAAACAACCTCTAGCAAAGCGGATGGCACAACAAGCGAAGAGCTAACTCATCAGACCGCAGTCTGTTTACACCTACAGGCCAGTGGACACTCTTTCAATGATGAGGATGTACACATCCTGGACTGGGAGGAACGCTGGTTTGAGCGCGGAGTCAAGGAGGCCATTTACATGAAAAAGGAAAGACCATCTCTGAATCAAGGAGGGGGCCTAAGGCCACAATGCTGTTATTGCAGCCATTCCCCAACTCTCTGTGAATTGTACTCATGGCAGTGACCATAGATTAATGGTTTTTGAGCAGTGGTTGTTGATCAGTGGTCATGACAATTTGCATAGTAATGATCAAGCTGACCTCACAGCTCATTATTTGTCAGTGGTTCTAGTTTCAGTCATTGTGCAAATGTACTGTTTATAAGGATTGGGAAACCTGCAGTCAGCTAAGACTGAAGAAGTCACTCGGGGAGTGATGAAATGTTTCTTCCACTAAAAATGCTACGTCCAGATTAACAGAATCAATTTTTTTGGATAGTATTTAGCGATTTTACATTTGGTGACTTTTAGGCATCTTTGCTTCCTCTAAAAACATATTGTACCTATAAAATGTATAGCTTATGGGACTAAAAATACAGACAAACTTGAAGACACATTAAAAACATTTTGTAAGCCATAACATTTAGACCGTACTTTCTTTCAGTACTATATGAAGGCAGGGGCTATCATTCAGGAGAACATTTCAGATGCATCACTGATAATTGGAGTGAAGAGGCCGCCGGAGGAGAAGATCATTCCCAAGAAGACGTACGCTTTTTTCTCACACACCATTAAAGCTCAGGAAGCCAACATGGGGCTCTTGGATGACGTACTGAAAAAGGTAAGCCCTAAAATACCCTGCAGTGGTCCTGCTTTTCAGTCAGTTTATTTATGTTTCCAGTTAGGGGTGGGCGATATATCGAATATACTTGATGGTATCACGAGTTTTTCCAAATATGATGGTTAAAATGGCTTTATCGTAACCATCAAGTATAAATTGCCATGGCAATATTAAGCTGTCTGCATTTAATTCGCTGAGTTTTTTTTCTCAGCGAATTACATCATTAATCCCCCCTCCTAACCGGAAAGTTTTCTACCTGACACACTGCACTGAGCATGTGTGTTTATTAGGGGTGCAACGATACACAAAATTCACGGTTCGGTACTTTGGTGTCACGGTTCGATATTTTTTCGATACAAAAAAATGTTCATGCCTTTTTAATTTGTCATTTATTACATTTTCACGGCACATTCCGCACCACATCTGTTCGTTCATCATTTGTTTGAAGCCAGCTCACCTCCTGCAACTACTTTTCCGAGAATACGTGCTTCTTTTGTGGTTCGGACTCCTTCTGACATTTCTTTGGAGGTGGAGGAACATCACAGTAATTGCTTAAAGGAGCTTCTTCGACATCTTTAAGAGTTCTAAACAAATGTCTGTCCTCCTCCAGAAAATCTTATGTACGCAAACACGCGTTGCAACTTCTTATCTTGTGCATGTTTTTTATTTTGACAGCGAATGCGCACCTGCGGACCACTTATGTGCACTTATGTAATTGAGCATTGTGTGGCACATCCGACATACTGTTTTACTTTAGCGCTTACCTTCAGGGTCATACGTCACATGAAAACCAAAATAGTTCCAAACGCCAGATCTGAATGAGGGTGGGGGAGGTTCAATTTGCCATGTTGCAAGGAGAGCTTAACTTCTGTCTCGCTAGCTTGCCCTGCGCTCACTGAATCTGCGTTCGACTACTCCGCCTAGGCTGCACTGTCGAGCGCAGATTCACTGAGCGCTCAACACAGACAGCATCGTCAGAAGGAAAGTTGATAAAATAAATTAAAAAATGTTGTATTGTTCGATGCATATGCGTACCGAACCGAAAGCACTGTATCGAACGGTTCAATATCGATACGAGTATCGTTGCACCCCTAGTGTTTATATACTACCAGGTGGGGAAAAACATGGCGACAGCAGGAGTTTTAGATGAGTGAGATAATGAGACTCTCTGTCGTTTAGATTTCACAACAGTGTCGAACAAAATGTGGTAATTTGCAAAACATCCTCTAAAAATATTGCCGCAAAAGGTAGCAGCACCACAAATGTATTCCACCAGCTGAAAAGTCATCCACTGCAAAATGAAGCCTGTTTTAAACTCTGCATGTCAGCGTCTCCCCACACACCAAAGAAAACGTTAAATGAACCAGCTGTGACACCTGCGACTGTTCTTGGTCACTCTGTTTTAGTCACTGTCTAGGCTTATGTTTCTGTAATTTGAGGTGATCACATTTTTTATAATAACCTTATAGGTTAGAAGCACAAAGAGAACCTTTTAATTTAACTGTTTTGTTTTGTCTCATGAATTCTTGCTTGCTGTAATTTTTGTTGCTATGATCTTTTGTTTGTTAAAGGTCTAGTGTTGACCACAGAGAGACTTACTGTGACAGTATTGTCATCTGTAAAAAAGAAAAAAAAACCTCTGTGTGCAACTGATGGTTAAAACATGATTTTTTTTATTCAAAGTAGAAAAAAATATTGAGTGGTCGATTTGAATGAGTATACCAGTGCAATTTTAGGCACTATATGATTGAAAATAACATTTGTTTTTGGAGGCTATTTAAACATATTGTGATATAGCCAAAAACATTGTGATATTATGTTTTCCTCATATTGCCCAGCCCTGTTTCCAGTATACAACTGTAAATGATGCAGGGAAAGTCTGTATTTATCTGAGGTACAAGAAGTTCCTCCCAAGCATTCTTTGGTGTCTTTTCTCTTCTTTTGCTAGCCTTGAAATAACTTTTTTTAAACGGTATGAGTTTTTCTTTTTTTAAGTAATATGCTTAGTCAAAGACAAAGGTGGGCAGTGTGGTGGTCAGCACTTTTTCCTTACAGCAAGAAGATCCTAGGTTCAAGAACTCAACAGCGTGAGGGTTTAAGGCAGGATTTAGATGTACGTGTTGCTTCAACACTTGACAGTGGTTGCACCTGTCATTTGGGGTTGTCTTTGTTAAAAGGACTATTATAAGCAACAACAAAAAATGTAATGCAAGCTAACTGTGCTCTGATCACCAAACTAGCTGCTGGTTACAAACTTTATTCATGTACAACAGACTGATTATTCATTGCAGTGATTGGCTGTTTTGTTTTGGGAGCAAAATTCCACAAGCAGTTATGTTGCTCTCTGTGAATATTTTAATAACCTAAATCGATTAATTGAGATGTTGCTGCTTGAGTAGCTGAACTCTTCTCAAGTTTCAGTTCAAGGACTGTAGACAAAGTGAAGCAATTCTATGATCACTCTTCACAAGGTCAATGACAGGCATGAGTGTTGAAACCTGAAACCAAGACTCGCCTGACACACATTTTCCATTTTCCAGCATGTGTTTTATTTTTGTTGTGATTCAATCCCAACAGCAGTAGAGACCTGCAGGTTCTCCTCTCTCTCTCTCTCTCTCTCTCTCTCTCACTCACCCACACACACACACACACACACACACGTGATGTGATCAATTTTTGGGATAAAAAGCCACACCTTTAATTTCAGTCCTTTCAATCACCTGCTCAGACTGTCAGGGCTCTGTGTGCGGGCTGGTGGAGATGTGGATCCAAGTGCATGACTCTGAGACGGAGATATAACTGAAAACCACAGCTTTATTGCTGGCACCAACAAAAAGAAACCAAACATGAAAACACTAACTGGAACACACAGGCAGGATCTGAGGGTACGATGCGACACCGAGCACGGGAAAACACAGGGCTTACACAGGGTAATGATGAGGGAATGGACAACAGGAGGGAGACACAACTGGGAGAGATCAGGGCTGATGAGACAGGGGGAACAAAGCTGCACACACTAACATAAGACAAAGACTTTCACAATAAAACAGGAAACATGAATCACTACTCAAAACCCAAGCAAATCATAATTCAGAGAAAAACCAAACATAAGAACTAATCTCTTAACAAGAATAACTGAAACAGAGATTATAATAATAATCAACAAAGCACCAGAGAAACATAAAGAACCCATCATTCAAAAATAAACCAAAACATAATAAACTCAAAATGCTGGTCGAATCGCCCCAGAACTGTGACACAGACAGTTTAAATGTTAATGAAAACAAGCTTGTTAACTGCTTCCAGCAATGACTGTTTCATTTTTTGACACATTAACACCAAAACTGGATTAAGATCAAGTTAAAACCAAAGCTGTCATAGTTCACAAGCTTTACGTCTGTTAAGTTTTTCATGAACTTGCTGTAGCCTGACAGCAGCGGTCCTCTCTCAGTAGAGAGTCGCATCTCACAGTATGTGAGGGTAAGACTGAATAAAACCTTGATTATTCTTTATATCTCCTGGGTTCTCCTTGGGTCTAAACATCATTGTAAATGGCCTGTATTTATATAGCGCTTTACTAGTCCTAAGGACCCCAAAGCGCTTTACATATCCAGTCATCCACCCATTCACACACACATTCACACACTGGTGATGGCAAGCTACATTGTCATCAGACAGTGAGCATGACAGTCTGTGCTGATTTCTGCTCATCTTCCTGTTTTTTTTTTTATTTTTATGGGCAGACACTTCTGTAGAGATTTACCATTAGAATGCAAAATTGCACATGTAGCCAAATGGTTGACTTCACCCTTATGATGTCTACAACCATCCATGTTGCACAATGTAATCACTGCTTAAAGGGGGACATGGATTTGCATGATTTGATTCGTTAATATAGAATATAAATAAATCTGTTACTCTGTATTATTATAGATTAAGTTGTCATATTTAAATGAAGTGGTATATAAGTAATGAAAATTATTAGTATAAGTATAGAAGAACCAGTGAAACTATACAAAAGGAATAATTGATGGAACCATGATTCGGCTCTTTACTGAAAAAGGAGATTGTTTCCTGAAGGAGAATGTTTGGCTGTCAGTTTGTGCCCTGAACTCAAGGACACTTGGGCTATGCAGCAGGTCAATGATCCAAAACACACCAGCAAGTCTACCTCTGAATGGATCAAGAATACAAAATCAAAGTTTTGGAGTGTCCTAATCAATGTAGGATTGAGTTACTATTGTTTCATTTAATTGTATTAAGTTAAATTAGATTTAACGCGGTTTGACAGGGTGAAACAATCTTAGTCACAAGTCCAAACAATGACAATAAAAGATCCATTGGTTATGACTTATTAGATTGGAAAGGTGGGAGGACAAGAAATTGGGATCACTATCAGGAGACTGATCAAGGATTATAAAATTGGATTAAATAAAGACATTGCTTCACGGAGCCACTGAGTGTGGTACAGGGCACTGTTTTCCAGAAGAAGAGTAGGTGTTGTGTTGCCAATAATAAGGTGAATTTATTAATAAAGAAAACAATAATAAGATAAATGGTAAGAACTCCAATTGACTAATCGATATATGAGAAAGATAACGTAAACTTGACATTTATTGAAGCTATTGATTTTAAGTATAAAAAATTGATAGACAGCTTTAGATAGGTGAATCCTGAAATTGTATAAAGAGAGGTGGGTGTGAATCGAGGTTTTACATTCCAACACTTGTTCAGGCTAATTCCCAGCTCTCTCTCCCATGCAGATTTAACATTGGATGGTGAGGAATAAACAGATGAAAGGAGTCTACCATATATCTGAGAGAGAAATTACTTTTGATGGGGATCGGAGCATAGGAGTTTTTCCCACAGGTGTTGGGGAGTTTAAAATGATTGGTATTTGCACTTTGAAAAAATCTAAAAACAAAATAACTAAAATGCAAAATAAATAATAAAGACATAAATAAAGAAAACCCATAAATGACTATGTGTCCAAACTTCTCAACAAATAATGAAAACTGATTCAGATTTCTAGCTGTTGCTACTAGGGATAGGTATTGATAAGATTTTCACGATTCCGATTCCATTTTCGATTCTGTTTAACGATTCGATTCTTTATCGATTCTCTTATCGATTCTTTTTAAAAAAGGAGAACACTAAGGTCCATTAGCTTAGAACTTTGTTTTATATCTTCTCTTGAACAAGATAGAAATTTAGGAGTAACATGGCCTTACAAACCCAGCAGTGAGATCTTAAAGATCCACAGCCTACGCTTTTCAATGGGGTGTCACAGGGTCCCCAGGAAAAAAATTGTAAATGTAAAATAAACATTCTTCTGTAGCAATAACAAAGTATAACATAAATTATTCTGTAGCAATTACACAAGAATATCCAGTAATGTCCCTGCCTACAATTAAACACATTCACTTACCGAAAATCGGGGGCATCTGCTGTGGCAAATGGGTGCAAGCCTTTTACCACAAACTTGGTCACTGCTCGGTGACATTCGTCTATCCTGGCCTGAAAGGAGACGCTACTGGTAGACTGCAGTGACAACTGCCAGCATCTGAGCCAGCTAGACTCTGTCTGTCTCTCTCATCATGGTCACCTAAATGCACAGTAATGGCAGGTTTTGTAATAAGGCAGATTGCGCTAACATAATATGCACTGTTAGTTGATTATTTACCTGCTGCATTAACGGGAGAGGATTGCAAACGTTACCGCTGCTGCTGGATGAGATCCGATCCGTAGCGAATTAAAACACGACTTCATTTAAGGTTATCGCGTGTTTTGTGAGCAAATGCTTTTGCATATTCGTAGTGTTTCCTCCCTTTAAATGAAATATCTACTTTGCAAGTATTGCAAGTTGCCCTGTTGTCATCCGTTCTCATAAAGTATAACAAACTTTTTTAGCGTTTGAGCCGCCATGTTTCCTGCCAGGTAAATGATGCTCTGCAACGTGGTGACGTCATTCGGGGCAACTGGAATCGATAAGGGAATTGTTTGCGAAAATGGCAAACAATTCCAAGGAATTGAAACAGTGGGAACCGGTTCTCAACAAGAACCGGTTTTCGATACCCATCCTTAGTTGCTACTCAACTAATGATTTTGATGTACAGTAAATAAAGAAATACAGCATACTCTGCCGAAGGCTGATTTCATTTTCCATTTAAATTCACACTCTTCAAAAACACTAACAAAGTTTCTTTTGTCTGTGGCAGGAGATCAGGCTCATTGATTATGAGAAGATGGTTGATGCTAATGGTTACCGGATTGTAGCATTTGGCCAGTGGGCTGGTGTCGCAGGTAAGAAAGGCTGCTGGGATTCCTAATCTTGTTAATTATTTCCCCGACTGTGTAGAAAGAGTTGCACTGTAGCAAACTTTGGGATCAGTGAAGATCAGGTCAGATCATGGACAGAAGTGAATCATTCGTAAAAACATGGCCTTTATCATTTGATCAGTCTGACCACTGTTGACACTGTTAACTCGGACTTGCAAGATCAAAATCTGTTATTCAGTATAAACTGTTACAGAATTTTATGTCATTACTGACATAAAAAAATAATGAAAGTAGGACTCATAAGAAATCCCTCTGTCCAGCCATACTCTTCTTTCGTGTGCTCCCTTATTTTTAGACATGGATCCGTGTGCTTGATTCAGCACATTTTTATGCCGGATCCCCTTCCTGATGCAACCCTTCTAGGAATTTATGCCTCCTGGTCTTAAACCAAAGATCTTTTGCATGTTTGGA